TTTGTTTATATGAGTTCAGCTTATGACAGAGATTAAGTTATGAAATTTGTACTCCTGGCATCTTATTAATACTGCTCTGCTGTAAAATCCCTCAGGCAACAGGCGAAATAATGACTTAAAACTGCAACAAGATAATTACCTTACAGTGCAGGCATTTTGAAGATAGACTTGGCTCTGCATTTGAAAATACAATTTTTTTAGGACCTTATCCTTTATATAAAAGGGTGTGAAACACTTACAATTACCTAAATTTATTTCTATGACATTTTGGTTTAGATCTAATCAATTCCTAGTACATTAAGGAAAATCTTGTCATTATTCAATAATGGGATTTAGCTATTCAAAGCAATTTTCTTAACCTTTGATTTTGAAAAGGTAACTCTTCAAACCTTAGCAAAATTAACTTTGTGCCACGGTGAATACTTTGATATATACAATATCTGTATTGTGTCTGGTGTGCCAAGATGCTTTGATGAATGAAAGAAATTGGCAGTTTCAGCACTTCCCTTCAACTTCCAGCCGAAAGCCTAGTGTACACGCGCAGAGGAGCAATGTCCTCGCTGATACAAAGCCAGGGAGGAAGGTTCTTCTGAAGCATCTCTAAAGCAGATGACATAAACTACATCTAAATCTTAAGTGGGCACTCTTCAAAATTAATTGATTTGATTTAGCTTCCTCTGCTTTCAAATGCAAGTAAACAAAGCTTCTTTCTGCTTAGTTATAATCCCCACTAATGTCATAGTTCAAGATCATGAACTCTCCCAACTGTCCCTTTGTAGGTAACACCTAATGTGGAAATAGCACAACAGGTTAATTCAACAAATGAGTTTCCTTTACGAGTGGAGCAGGTCAAATTCCTGCAATGGGAAAAGATCTTGATAGTGCATTTCATCCTTGTCAGTCCTGCAAAGCCAATATGTGCCAGAGGGGACACCCTGCCTTCCCTGCGCACGGAGACAAGTTTCTCACTTGCCCAGTTACTGAAGATTACAAAAGGGGACAGCAGCTACTCAGGACCATTAACACGGGAACATTGTTACTGATGAAGATGCACAAGCCGATGGAAATACTTCACTGAAAACCTACTTTCTGGTGTTCAGCTACACAAAGCAAAACCACTTGACCTAACGAGGCAGCCTGGAGAAAATTTTCCATGAATTTCTTATTCCCAATTCTAAAGTTGCAATGTTCTGGCCTTGTAAGGTGCTTACGCTTGCCATTTCTCCACTGAGCTCCAAAATGAACACGACTTCCCTCAACACAGTCAGAGCTCACATCGCTGTTTTCAGGAAAACATCACCTTTCTTTTTTTTTTTTTTTTGTTTTTTTCTCCCCTCCTGTAAGCAAAGCAAGACTACTATCAGCATCCAGTCAGGACAGTCTTTCACAAATGAAAAACATTAATCAAAAACCAGGCACCTAAGGAAACCCATACAGGTATTTCTTCTTGGTCACCAACATGTGGGAGATGGCAACCCACCAAAGGGGAACACAGAAACAAAAATCAGTTGCCTCCCTGAACTGTTTTCTGCCCTCTTTGCAAACACCTGCAAACTTGGAAAGTAAGGGCTAATCAGAAAAAAACTCCTCCCCTATAACTGGTCTTAATAATGGTTGCTGAGAGAATCTAAGTATTTTATTTGGAAAGCATGACTATAGCAGATTCCTGAAATAAATCTGAAAACGTTGAAGTTTACCCCTGATTCTGCCTTTGTTTTCTTGGTTTGGTTTGTTTTTAACAGGTACTATTAGCAATTTCTGAGAATAAACTTCACTGCTCCCCAACAATGAAAATAATTTTCTATCTATCTCCATAAAGTGAGTGTAAAAGGTGAAAAGATTGCAGCTTTCCCCTTTTGCCTCTTAACACACCCCTCCACCCTGAAAAGGAGACGTCAGGTGCTCAATAGCCATTACAGAGCACAGCCAGCCAGGATTTACAGATGTTTAATTTCTCACATGCTCCAGCCATTGTTCCTAACATAAATTAAAGTTTACACAAAAGCTAGAAAACCTTGTACTTCCAGGCGAAAATACCAATAATGCCTTTAACCTTGAGCTAAGGTCAGACGTATTAAAAAAGTGACGACATAAGGATACACTAAAACAAACAGTTTACAATTTCTCCTAACTATCTTCCTACAAAAATGCTTTCAGAACAGAAGTTCAACATTTGTGTAGGGACAGTAATTAAATGCTAATACCTCTATGTATGTATTGCATCCAAACTGGTAGCATCTTGTGTGGCATTACATTCTCTTTCTTGGTAACACGGACTTCAAAACCAAACCTGCTCCACTGGTTTTTTGCTCTCTTCCTACTTAGCGAATGCAGTTTTTATCTGCGCAGAATCTCACTTTGATAATGTTAACTGCAAAAGGAGGCAGTTATAGTAAGTATAAGAATTCCAAGCAGTTACAGAAAGCAGCTCCTTAAGGAACAAAAAAAAGCCATCACTGAACTGGGCCTTCCATGTGACTATAACTGAGAACAGGGTAGTCAAAGTGTCTGTGGAAAGTTCGGTACAGGGTTAGTAGGTAGCTATCTGCTACGTGAATTCTCCAAGAGATTTACACAAACCAACATTTGCCACTCGGGCAGAAAGAGGAGTTTGGTCTTTTCAGTAATTTTTACCTAATCAGGCATGCTTTTACCATTTTACATCCAATGAAGAAATCCCCTTGTTGCATTCCATTGCTCTGAAAACTTAACATCAAAGTAGTCCTCTTAGATACTCCACAAGGAAAAAAAAAAAGGACAACGAATCTCCCATTTTAATATTGCCTGTTCAATTTACCGTTAAAAAAACCAAAACAAAACAAAACACAAACCCCTTTCTTTTTCTTGTTAGGCAGATAAGCTATGGAAAGGATTTTCAGTGCAACCTGTTCTCCATTTGATCAAGAGAAGAGCTGACTCTAAAGGCTGAGGTGTGTGAACTGCGGATCCCAGACAGCCGGCAAGCACGGTCAGATTGTAAAGACAGTGCAATCTCTCTCTCTGTTGTGCACAGGTTCCACTGTGCTCTGCTTGCTAGATATACAGTTGATTATCCATGTACTAATGATCCGCACTCCTTGTAGTTTGTGACAGCTCCTTTAAGCTTCTGCAATATATATATCAACTAGCCAGCAAGCATATCTGCAACCCTAACAGGGTACCACAGCACTGCCAAGAGGACGTGGAACACACCAGCACTTCTTTTAACTGCGTACCAAGTGCCACTTCCCAGAACCACGTAATGTAACCCCAGCTGACAGCTCAGTTGAGCAGAAATTGATGGTATTGCTGTAATGGAGTTATCAGTGACAGATACCTCCTATGCAGCTTCCAGGTCACACTCACTTAAGCAATGATAAACGAGCACGAAACACTGTTAGCACAAAACAAGATCATAAATACTCAATTTGTAGTTAAAAAACCCCACCAACTTCAGACAGCGGTAGCATCTTGCATGATTTTATGGATGTTCTCACTCTTGTCAAAAACATACCACAAAATAGTGAAAGGAGACTTTTTGCAGGTTTAAAAAAAAGAAAGGAAAAAACCTCCAGTCATCCATCCAGAGCAAATATTACATCACCCTACACTGGCTAATACACAAATACATCGGTGAACCTTGCAGAGTTTGTAACAGCTTTTGGTATCCCAAGGTCTGACATCCATCTGTCCATCCTTCTGTCATAGAAAGCTGCTTAGGCTGAGAGGATGCAGACTGGAATGTAAATGTCAAAAGTTGTGAAATTCAGTTTTCTGGGACTCTTCTATCCAAGTACTGACATAGGTGGGAAGCCAATGGTTTGCAGTGAAGAAAAATTGGAAAAGTCCATGGGGAAGCAGCCCCTGCAATTGTGCTTTATCCCTAAGGAGTTATCTCCACAGGCTCCAGTTGCTTTTAAGAATGAATAAAGCATATTCCTGAGGGTGTTTGCTGATTACAGTTAGATCAGTGACAGCTTGGGACACAAAAGACTGGCAGCTGCTTCCCCGCTGCAGCAGCAGAGAACATGAGTGCCTTCTCCTGCTTCCCCATCACCTGGGATTTACCAGGTACAACACAAAGGGCATCAACCCTTCTCTACCCAGCCATCACGCTACCAGCGGTCCGTCATCTCCAGATTATCCAACACTTACCCAAACGCCTCTCAGAGAGAGCGATAGCATTTTGGCTGTTTAGATGAGAAGCGTTAAATCTAAAAGCAGGAATGACAAACCACGCGTGGGGATGCACCGAGACCTAGCGTGCAGCAGCCAGCGAGCGCGTTGCACAGGGCACCCCTGCTCAGCCACGACCAAGCTGCGCACTCCTGCTCCCATGGATGTGCCTGCTGGTCAACGTCTTCGTTACTGGCACTGCTGGGCTACAGACTAAATCCTTTAGTATTAACACTGCAAACTTTAAAAAGCCTGGCTACATCTAAAACCTTAGGAGCAATCAGAAATTGTATTTTATCCTAATTTTCTGTATTGCTAAAAAAATGAGTTCCTTACTGGCTTAAAACAAGATTTTTGAAAAACAGTTCTAAATCTTTTCATTTAGGAGGATGTCAGTCTCACTTTTACAAACCATGTAAACATTTATGCAACGTGTTCATTATTTATATCTTTTAAGGGTTTTATTTGCTTTTATTTAGTTGTATTTCCTTCAGGAAGTTCAAAGAATAATCAAACACCTACTTGCTTACCAAAAGCAAATTGGAAATTAACATTGAAATGTCTGCATATGGCCATACACCCATATGAAATTTTACACTCATGCCAACACCCTTCCAATTTACAGTAGTTACTTCCTTTTTAGATTGCTACACAGACAGGAGCAACCGCTACAATATTGTACAGTAAGAATAAATTACTTAGCTATATTTTATGTGTCAAAATACTTGCATTATTAAATTTACTGCTAGAACTATCTGTTGTATTGTCATGTACATTCAAATGTGCTGCAATTTCTCTGTCCTGCAAAGTGTATTACGAGACAAAGCACACAATATTGCTTCAGTCAGAATTTTTTAATCGTATTCCTACAAAATCATGTAAACAGTAGCATACAGATCCAGAAAAATCAATATAATATAATGGTGCATAAACTGTAAGTTTAGAAGAACGTCAGGAACACTTCAACAGTTTATAAATTAATATATACAGTAATGGGTACTCATCATTAGATAAGAACACCTCAAAACTGAGGAACTTAGGTGCAAGAGCTGTAAAACAACAGAAGTGCTCCGACACCAAACTTGACCATGAGGCGACATTGCAATCTACATGACTGCTTGTTGTCGTTTCATATTAAGCATTCGATTTAGCTGCTAGAAAGTATAAAACAAAAGTTTTGGTAGGAAGTTTATTTTTATTTGAAATCATATAGCAAACATCCCTAAAGTAATAAAAAACCCAAAAAATGGAATACTCCATAAACAGGTTTCTAGAAGAGTGAAACTGAAGCTTACTAGGCTGCACAAAGAGGTCATTGACATCTCCATTCCATGCTAGTTCAGAGCACCAAAAGGCATCTCTAGCTAAAGAAAACGTTTCAGGTAGTTTATAAATGGAGAGCGGTGGGTGGAGGGAAAAAGAAAGAAAGATGCAGAGCACGTATTGGGCTGATGCAAAATTCCTGCTTCCACATGCAGCATTCTGGGCAGTTTAGCTCTTTATTGAATTAGAAAGTCATGGGAATGTAACACCGTTGATAATTTGTTAACTCTGGCCTATTTTGCTTAAAAAACCCCTCCAAAACAATAAGGAAAAATATAATCTTCAGCCTGCCTGTGATCAAAGTCATATTCAAAGTGTTCTTACAACATTGCCCTTTACGAGATCAGGGACACACAGTAGAATGCAGGATATATCACTATTATTTAGATGACACATTAAACAGAAAATGAGTTATTACTTTCCTTTTCTCCTGTCTGTACAACCATATTTCACAGGGGGGAAAAAATAATAAAAGTATGGTAAACATATCCTAAAGAAATAAAAGGCATTCTTCCCCATATTAGAAAATTCTCAGATATCAGTGAAAATACGGACTGCATAAAAAGACTAGGATTTATCCTGGAAACACCTGACACTGCAAAAACTCTCTTAACTGGATACCCTATAACATGATTTTCAGAGAATCTTTCCAACATTAAATATATTTTTCTGTTTCTAGAGTTGAAGTAGAATTTTATGCCATCTTGTTTTGGTACATTTTTCATGCCTGACCAATCACTTCCCCTTACAATGAAAATTAATATTGCACTAATAAAGGTGCATTTATTTACAATAAAGGGGAAGTCATATCTAGCCACCTAAAGCTTTTTGCTGTATTTTCTTCCAGTTGTTTAGGAACAAATTCTGTTCACCTTTTCTATAGGAAATCCTGAGTGTAAGGTGAAGAACGTTTGGCAGATAGCACCAATTTTCCATCACTTGTCTTAATTAACAGGGTACATTTATCATCAGCAACACATCTAGAAGCACTACCATAGTTGAACCTAAATGCCCAAGTAAGAGCTTATTGTAAAACAGTTACGCCTGTTGCCAGAATCCGAGCCAACACTGAAACACCAGGAACAGTAGAAAAGATTTCCGCTAACTCTGAGGACGCAGGTTGCAAACACAGAAAAAGGCCTGAAATTCTAGCCCAAATCTTTTCCTTATAATGGATGGGGGTGGAGAAAACTACAGCTGGTGGGAAGAATAGAAAGAAACCCTTGAACTGCTGTTGTCTGTCACCTTCCAAGCAACACGCTTCCAAGCTGCCCACTTAGCATTAATGCAAAGGTGCAGCACTCTGAAGGTGTTTATAAACGACCCAAACCCTTTGCTATTGCTTCCACCAGAGCAGCTCAAGCAGCGAGTGCTTTATTGTAAGCCAGACTGCCAACAGCTTCCAGCATTTAATTACCATGTTATGTTTCAGGCTTGGAGAGGTTTATGTCTGACATTAGCCGACAGGATTTGTTGATATTAGAGCCCTAGTTCACTACATTTCCTGTTGCAGTTTTTACTTGTATTACTAAACTTGTAATAGCAACCATGACAGACCAGAAAATCTAACACAGAAGAGGCTAAACTTAGCAATTTGGGCTTAAACTTAAGCTGGGTTTAAACTACTAATAGACAAACATTTCATTGGATTGTACATAGTACATAGACCTGGAAAAGTTTTATCACAGATGTATCTGCAGCTTTGTGTAAACTATTAATGTACTAAAGCAACACTAATTTGGTATTCACAGAGATAGTAATAGCACAGTTTTTACACATCTTTTGCCCTCTCTTCATTGTTATTATTCCCACGCCTAAAAAGACACGGGCACAAACTCCTAACAAGACCTCATGTTCTTATCTGTATCCTGCAGACTTTCCTCCCACTAATATGTAAGTGATTTCCATTTCCTCACTCACGTTATCCCATGGGGATCTTATACTCACATATACGTGTACTGTGATAAAGGAGAACTGATATGACAATATAAACACAACTAGCAGACCTCAATTCAAATGATATCGCCAACAACAGTGAACCTTGAGAAACTCCAAATATACTAACACATCTAAGACCTTGTTCAACATTGTAACAGATAGCACCAGCAAAATGGTATTGAAGAGTGTCAGGTGAAAATGTTTCCCTCTGCTAACTTTGGTCACATTTCTCATTTTCCCACCCTCCCATACTTTGTTTTTTCTCTACTTCTTCATGCTAGCTTTTGTGTCTGATTTGATAAAGACAATGCAGTTGTGAAATGCATTATAGCTCCCCCAGAATCTTCCCATTTTTAACCATTTATTAAAAAAATAGATTTAAACCAGGACATTTTAAGTTAAACAAATGAAAAAGTTGATAAGAACAATGAAGATACCGTGGCAGTCTTAAGGAGGTAATCAAATTATGACAATTTTCAGTAAAAACGATCATTACAACCCTTCTCTCTAAAATCATCCCCAGAGTTACATGGCTGCCTGTACTCCAGCACTAAGCTTACATGAGAAATCTAAGTAAGATCTCTGAAAAATAAAGGCAAAGGAGCGTAGAGAAATCTTCTGAAGTCTTTCAGCAATCTCTTGACTGAAGTACAAATGTGTACCAAAAAATCCTGCTTAACAAGGTATAATGCAAACCAGATCTACCGAAGAAATCTTTTCTGTACACATATGAACAAGGTTTTCATGTCCGAAACCATCAAACAAAAAAAATCTCGTCTCTCAAAGGTGGTTTTTTTTTGTTTGAGTGTTATACATAACTACCAATGCAGTCAATATATATTAAGTTAAGCCAATTCATACATTATACCCAGCAATTCACACAATATACCAGTGGGAGGAGATGAACAATATTCTGGTTGAATACATTTACTTCAATCCTCGAAGCACAACCCTTTTTCTTCTTCATCATCATCATCAGTAGAATCTGCATAGGACTCAATGGTGTTGTACATGAAAGAGTACAGCTTGACATCTGGTCCTGAAGTAGAACAGCTTCTGCATTCTTCATTGTAATATCTCAGTAACAGCCTATAAATGTCCCCTTAAAAATAAAAAGAAATAAAAACCATGTAAGATCATGCCATATGAAGAATGTATGATTGCAAATGAAGACTAGAAATGCACACTCACACTGAGATAGTGGCTAGGAGCATCTCTTTAAATGAGCAGTGAAAGAGGAGGTAGACAACTGTATGAGGGGAATGTAACTGTTTCCAAGTTTGTTCAAAACAGAGTGAGCTCCCTCAACTTCCTGCTGAGCTTTCTGCACAAGCTATCTGAACGTTAGGTTTGCATACGTGTTACTTAAAAGTGTATTACCAATTACCTAGCTTTGTGCTTCTGTCCCAGAAATTAAAGACATTTGACAATTACAGTGGGGCAATGGATACATTGCTTTTCTTGTATTGTTACTGCACAACACATCTGACCACATCTTGCAGGATCAAGCCAGAACCACTATAAGACAAATCTGTATCAAGAATGCGTAAGCAGATTTTCCCTTTTTAAAGCATTTTGAGTTATATTAAAAACTTTTGCAAACCTTCTGTCTACCACATGTATCTCTATTTTCCAAATTCTGGAGCATAACTCCCAAGTGAATTAGAAAAGGATTCTAGAAGTCTTCTAACAGATTAACACTGCGCAGTGGACCCTGACTGAGAAGAGCTCCCCACTCTGGAAACAGGTACAAATAAACCGAGACCCATTTGCTTGTGTTCAGGACTTGATGACAGTAATTCTTATTGGACAATTTCTACTTAAAGAGATGGTTAAGTCTCTTTGCTGCACGAAAAGATTTCTTTTTGCTCACCAATAGTTTGGCCCTTCTCACAGAGAAAAGTGTGCATGCTGTAAATATCTCGCATCAGCTCCACATCTCCAAAGGTAAAATAAACAACATCACGCCCAGCCTCAGCAGCTGCCAGTATCTGTATTAAGGCTGAAACAACAAAAAAGATTACACACATGAATACAGGATAAAACAATTTGCTGAAGGGAAAAATACAGCCTAAGTTTACAGCAAATAATCACACCACCAGCAGTATGAACAATAGGTGGGTAAGTATTACTTCCACTTTTAAAACAAAGTAAAGAATACTGGGCACTGCAGCTCAGGAATGTTGAAGTGTTCTGCTGGAGTCACTAGTGACAACCACCCTTACTTTCCAGATAAACAATGTGCTTAAAAATCAAAGGTTTTTTTGGTCTGTATCTGCCCCCAAGCACCATGCAACCATTAGTTATCCAATAAATATGTGTGACAGCCTAAGATGACAGCACCATCTTACATCCTGGTTTAAGCTGCTTGCATCGAGTCACAAATAGTAGGGTAAAAAGCATCCATTAGCACGTCACAATTTCCATTCTCTACCGCCCTTCAGAAGGAATGGAGCCAACCCTTTCACTAGGTAAGCTACACAAAGCGGGAGCCAACCCAACTTTTAGCTGCCAGGAGATCTATGGTTCTGCAGCCTCTTACTGCGCAATTTAAGGTGTCCATCTTACCTATAATAGAAGCATGCAGCATGGAATATGATGTCTCATTCTGACCTATAAAAAGCGAGTGGCAATGCCAAGAATGCAGTTGAGGTTACTCAACTTCCAGCTTCATGTCAAACTCGCTGGACCAAGCTGCATCCCCAAGTTCTGTCAATGGCTAACATTACAAAATAGACAGACTTTGTTTTCCTATATGGAAAAGAAAGAAGAATGCTTCCTATCTTGGAAACAGATTTTTGAAGACTCATCTTGAGAAATCATCTGGGGCATTGATCAATGGTCCAGCTGAGCCAAGCCAATGACCCACTGCAACTGGAGAAAGCGGCTCTGGTGCAGCTACATTTTCTCCCTTCTCACCCACCTCCTGACTTTTCTGCAGCAATCAAGTGTTCATCAGACATCTCACTGAGCCAACTCCATTCACCAACCTGGCAGAAAATTTATATGACAAAAGATTAAAAGCTAACTGTTTTCTGCTAGATCTGCAGCTGAATTGGCTGAGTGAAGGGTTTGCTAAAAGCCAGAGCTGATGTAAGGGAGGGCACCAGACCATTCGGCCAAGAACAGGGAAGGGGAGAAGAAAAACCAGGATCCTTTTAGGTAGCACCAAACTATTACAAGAGTGCAGCTTTTTCGCCAACCAGTACTGTGAGGCTGGAGTGTCACAGATGCATGCAATCAATCACACATTCATTTCAGGTAATGTTACAACAGTCCAAATAATGGACCCCAGCAACGATTTAATCTATTGCGGCTTGTCTTATTTCAGAGCCTATGGGTGCAGTTCTGATATTAATTCTTTCCTTTTCCACCCAGTAAGTAGAGTTAATTAAAATGTGATTAATATTGTCTTTGTAAAGATTAATTTTAAGTAAAATAGCATACATACTGCATTACCACCTGCTACTGGAAACTAAATAGAAAGCTGTTCATAGCTCAGCTCAAGAATCTTTCACATTTTTAAACAGAGACCTAATAAAATGCTGCATTCTTTAATCAAAAAACCCTCTTGTAAACCCATAGCTAAAATTATAAATTACATGATTCACATGTGAAATTAATCTCAATCTGGGAATGATATTTTAATTAAACTACTGAACCAGCTGTGGATTTGGTAAAGCTTCAGTAGTTCAGCTTTTAAAGGGTCTAATTAACTAGCTCGCATAGGGGAACAGAACCTAATGAATCTTATTATTCATTCCAAACAAACAATGCAGTTTCATTTTACAGAAGATATTAAAAATATCCTACTGTTTATTTTGAATTGCTATAGACCTTATGAAACAAGGGTCAAAATTTCTGTCAAGAAACAGGCTTCACAATTTTCTGGGCATTAATGATATACAATACCATGTGAAATTTCCATGCTACTGATTGTCCTGGTTTCGGCTGGGATAGAGTTAATTTTCTTTCTAGTAGCTGGTATAGTGCTATGTTTTGGATTCAGTATGAGAAGAATGTTGATCACACACTGATGTTTTCAATGGTTGCTAAGTAGTGTTTAGACTAAGTCAAGGATTTCTCAGCTTCTCAGGCCCAGACAGCAAGAAGGCTGGAGAGGCACAAGAAGTTGGGAGGGGACACAGCCAGGACAGCTGACCCAAACTGGCCAAAGGGGTATTCCATACCATGTGACATCATGCCCAGTATATACACTGGGGGGAGTTGGCTGGGGCAGGGTGGATCGCTGCTCGGGAACTAACTGGGCATCAGTTGGTGAGTGGCGAGCAATTGCATTGTGCATCACTTGTTTTGTATATTCCAATTCTTTTATTATTATTATTGTAATTTCATTATTGTTATTACTATCATTATTATTTTCTTCCTTTCTGTTCTATTAAACTGTTCTTATCTTAACCCAGAAGTTCTACCTTTTTCCTTCCAATTCTCTCCCCCATCTCACTGGGGAGGGGGGGAAGTGAGCGAGCGGCTGCATAGTGCTTATTTGCTGGCTGGGGTTAAACCACGACACTGATACAGAAAGGAGCATCACATGAAGAGCAATAGAGCCTGTGGTACAGGGGCCTGGAGGGATCTGGGCTGTCTTGCCCCATGCACCCAGCTGATGTGATCCCATTTAACTCTTCGAGACTCACACCTGAAGGGATGGCTGTGCTGACATACCCAGTGAGGGTGGCAGAAGCATAATACAAATCCCTCTAGGGACCCAACTATCCTCACAGGCCCTACACCTTCAACCCCTTTTACCCAGAGGGAAGGATGTTATCACCAGGGACTCCTCTCCTGCAGTACCCTTGCAGCAGCGCAGCCAAAGTCCAGAGATCGGTGCGAGGCAAGCGGCACCAGAGACACCGCAGGGGCAAGCAGAGCGGAACTCCACTACTGCAGGTGCAGCAACGCTACACTGGGCGAAATGCCCCATACTCCTTGTGTCGTTGCCTATTGTGTAAGTTCAGAACCGCAGTACTATCATGGTAGCACCTTGATATCGCACGCATTTACATGAGGCAAGATGCATGCTTTTCTCTCCTTCCACTAATCCTACAAGGGTCTTTTTAAAGCTGACAGCAGTCTTCCGATTGAACTTCATTTTCTCAGATAAATAAGAACACCAAATCAGCTAAAGAGTACTTTCTCACAATCATTAGGAGTTAAATTTATGTATTTATGAGAAGCCTTATCAGATCATCTCCTTTGCATTTTCAATAAAACAACACTTTTCCAATCTTTAGACAGTTGCACAGAGCCCCTGCAGCTAGTAATTGTTAAATTATCCTCTGGTTTGAAGAGCAAGACAAGATCTTCCAACTTCTCCCAATTACATAAACATACTTTTTTCAGTATTGAAAGTCTTAAGTTTATAGTAAAATTTTGTGGAAATACCCCCAACTTAACCGGAATCTGGCTTGTTTACATACCAGGTCTTTAATTTATAAAGCCAGATTATTTTTTTCCTCCCTTAAGACAACTTTAGTTTTCACATCATCTGTGACCTTGAATGAAACCATATTTTATACACAATCATGCACCTCTAATTCATGACTAAAAAAAATCATGGCAAAATATCATAATGCATTATGGAACTTATCCAGTTATATCCAATTATATCAATTACTTTGGTGGTTCTGAAGTCTTTGTTATAGATCCAAATAATACTTCTGAAAGGACAAGCATATGTATTTAAGAACATTAAATGAAAAAGCAAGTTTTTAAACTATGAAAATTATTTTGTCATTGCAATACGCTGTCAAGCCTGTGTAGTCAACAAAAGGTATTTATTTGGGTTCAGTGAAACTGTGATACTGATAATCTCAGAGTTTTCTAAAACATACTCAGAAATGAAGAATTTATGACTCCCTATGAAGTGTAAAAGATTATTCTCCAGTGTAAGAAATTTGCTTAAAATGAAATGAAACCACTGAGAGAATTTGCAGTTCAGAATAACCCTATACAGCATTTTAGAACAAAAGGGAGAAACACCTTTAGCACTTATGACTGTGCAGGGAGTATCTGTGAACTAGAAAAGACTTCATATGGTTATCACACATCAAATGCAACTCTATTCTGACAAAACCACACATGACAAACTACTGTACTCTTTTAGTAGCTCTTAGTTTACAAAAATAAAGAATGAAGCCATCTTGTTTCTAGTCAGCATCAGCTCAGAGAAAAACATCACATACTAAAAGACTAGCTCCATATCCCATAGCATATCACTGTCATTTAATTCTCTTTATTAAGTATTGATTTTTCAGAGTCAACTAAGAAATTAAGCTGAGTTTACAACAAGAGTAACTTAAGTGCAAGTTAAACCAATGTCTGTCTTTGTAAGGTCTGCCAAAAGAACAGGAGAAGACTTGAGAGTACACACATAGATTTAGATGAATTTTTCACAACAGCAGCAGTGCTGTAACTTGCTGTTAAGTGTTAACTCTTGCAGACTTTGGGAAAAAAAAAAAATAAGGTTGATCCAAAACCAGAGCAAAAGTTACATAAATGAGAGCTCAAACTAAAACATTAAGTTAAAATAAAACAGACATTGTTCAAGACTTTACATGCTCTTGTTCTGGCCAGAGTTCATATTCAAGTTACAAAGCACCACATCTCATGGCTCATTTCTTTGTCTACATCAAAGACTTTTCTTATGGGCTACCTCACCAAATAGACTCAGCTCTGGTGGTCTTTGTCATTATGCTTCAGTTTTGAGCTCAGACCAATGGGGAGAGGAAGTAAAGCACTGCAGTGAGCAATCCCTATTCTAAAAGTCACATCCAGTGTTGAACAAATAATGGCTTAGATCAGATGAGCCATATTTTTATCAGAAAGCCATATGTTAAAAAAAATATACATGCGATATTACAGTTCAGATCCAAGAGAAGGCCTTATGCAGATCAAAACATTTATTAAACCTTCCTAACATAATCAAGTATGGTCAGATCCTGCAGTAAATACTACCTCTGATATTGATGATCTGCACTAGGCAGCCCATTTTATCTAATGGAAATCAAAAAACGACTGTCAGGAAATCAATGAGCATTGCGGAAAAAAACCAGATGCTCAATGAATAAAACACATTAAGAAAGAAAACTAATGAAGCTGGTGGTCTGGTGATTGTTTGTCTCAATATAACTACCTAAAGCTGTGCAGAAAAGCAAATGTTAAATACTATCCAAATGCTTGAAAACAACAAAAATGTAAATTTCTACTTAGAACTGTATGAATCAGGAAACCAATTTAAATGTCAGGATCCATCAGTTCTTGGCTTGATGGGAAAAAGTCTTAAATGAATGTAGGCATGTGTTATCTGCTGCATTATAAATACTCTAATTAAAAATAAAAGAACATGAGAAAGTGAGTGATATAGCAGGCAAGTCAGGAAAGAAAGAAGCATATCTGAGTGAATGGAAACCTCTCCGGCATACAGCAATATATTAAGGAGCAAAACTAAACATTAAGCATTGCCAGCAAGTTTGTGAAGCCTTGCAGATTACCAGGTATTTTAAACAGCTTTGCAGAGATATGAATTTTAGGCATAATCTGAAAAGGCTGGTCCAGAAAGGTCAACTGATTTATACGACTAAGAACTGCAATGAACATGTTCTTTTGTGAACTAATATTGCATGTTTGTGCTTTTGCAGGTTTCAGGTCCTTGTAAACCCAGCATTTCACCATAATGTACTTACCTCAAACTTTAAACTGAAAATAGCATATAAAAGCAGTGTGCATTTTTACTGTTTAAGGCCACAATACTCATGGCCTAAAGATCAAAGCTAATGAACCAGTTCTATGGAGAGTTTAACTACTATTCCAATTCTTGGCTAAAATGTATTAATTTGAAGAAAACAAAAAAATGTACTTGAACAACAACAACAAAAAGGCAAAGAATTAAAATTTATTTTATTCATTTGGACATTAATGAATTGCTACAATTTACCTTTTAATCGGGAGTCCCCTCCAAAGGCACCACATCCCCAGTTTCCTGTGGCTATTGCAGAGAGATGCTGAGGTGGAACATTGGGTCGAAAGAAGCCGCAATAGGCCTGCAGGCAGACAAGAGTCAGAAGATGAAGTTGAAGGTGATAACAATAATCAGTATTGTCTTCTAGCAATACCAAATTCAAACTACTTCAATTCACCATTAGTCTTTCTTTAAATTTAAGGTCAATCACTAAAGAATTTAAGGCAGGAATAATTTTGCCTTATTTGGATCCAAGTTAAAAATTAGATACAGGTGCTGACTCCTAAGGATTTCAGCTATAGGAAACTTTTCAGGATAGCCAGAGCAGAGAATAACTTTAACTGTAGATTGTATCACGTTTGTTGGGTTTTGGCCCATTTAGCACAAGACAGCTGAACCGCTGCGTCCAGTATTACTGAAATTCCTCAGAACTGAAAATAAAATATAAAATGGGCATACAGGTTTGATGCAATAAATGAGGGTAGGAGGAAAAAGTGTGATATTCAATAAGAAATCTTGAGTAAAGGCAGATGCTTCCATGTATAGAAAAAAGGATAAATCTCTTCAGGAAGTTTTTCAACAGTACAAAAATTTATTGAATTGGTACAATTGTCTGGTACAGATTGAAGTACCCACGGTTTCAATCCAATCTGATCTAAGCTGCAAATTCAAACTTCTGTTAGTTGTAATTTAGCAGGGTACCATGATTCAGAGTTTGCATAAGGAACACTTACACATCATCAGGTACATGCAGCTTCTTGAGCTCTTTCAAGTCAGAGTTATTAGTGTGCTTAATGTCCAAAGCATGTTTGTACAAAACCAGTGGGCCAAGCAAGCTAGTACTCTGGCTGTGTGGACAACAACTCTTCAAACTCCATCCTCCCAGTGAGGGAAATAGACTGGTGTTGCAACAGGATGCCATTTTCTTTTCAGCTTTTACTTAATAGGCATGTATTTCTCAACTCACCAGGACATGGAGAACAGAAACTGTCTCGTCAGACACAATAAGAAAGTCAGCAATTACTTGGAAGGACTTCAGCAGCAATGAAGAAAAATATCTAAGTAAGTGCGCCCATATGATTTTTCATAGCAAATGAAGGATAAAGATAAAACTAATAACTTTTTTTTAAAAAGAGACAATGCACCGATATTTTAAATAGGTTTCACCTAGGAATACAGCAATATGAAAAAAGCTTTCTGTCCAGTTTTAAAGCAGTTGCTTCCATATGGGAAGCAGAAGACCTGTTCCTTTTGAACTACATAAAGGAATCTGGTTTTAAGTTGTAGACAACTTCAAATATATGGTATCTCATATTGTTTAGAAGTTGTGTGATGTTTACAATTGGTTTGTTTTCATATAAAACTGTTATATACAGTTCTCACAGCTAACCATTTGAAACATAACTGTTCTGCATACCATAATTCTTAGGGAAGCATTTCTTGCCAAACATGAAGCTGTAGCTTTTTTTAATTGGTGACTATCAAAATAGGCTTAATGACATTTATGAGTGGGATTGCAAGCCCAATTATAAGTCAGTTGTTGCTTAGGATTTGGAAACTGGAACTTGCAACTGGAAAAATTATTGCTAGTGAGAATCTTTATTAGGCAATAATCTCAAGGGGCTAGCAAGGATGAAACAGTGACATCTCTTACACATATATCTGCAAATCTTGATGCTGAAATCAGATACAATGGGGTTTTTTCTTATTCTGAACAGCTGACTTCAGACAATATTAATCTTGTTTTCTGAGTACGGGTTACACCAGAAACAAGGGTCAGCCTCAGACAGTGACCTTTTGAGAAAACTAACCAGGACTGAACATCTGGTTCTTTAAGACAGATAGATCTTATAAAGGAGAAATCACATAGGCTTATAAGAAAATACAAGTTGTAAGAAAAATCACTTTAAGTTGTTTCAATCATTTCCTAACGTCTAACAAAATGCCAGACAAACAAAAGAACCTCTGGACACTGGGCTCTGTCTGCTAATACATAAACACTCGGATTTCAAAGCCTGTGTGCATACACTGCGCTTACTGAGTCCTGGTTTATTAAGTCATAATAGAAATAGAGTTGCAGCTTATTCCATTAACTTGTTTTCACCCACAGAAAAATCTTAAGGTTAATATTATTTTCTATCAAACTGAAAAAAACCCACCACAGTACGTTTGAAAATATTTGTTAAAATATTATAGAACCTCCAATAAACTTAATGAAATTTTTACTGTAGTTAACAGAATTAACTCAGGCTTAAAATTTTCTTCAAATACCAATCAGTCCTTATCAAACATCAGCCAAACCAACACACTGTATAAAAGTTGCATGGATCTACCATAATTTATTTTAAAAATCCACACCCAATCAATAATACTGAAAATTGTAGGCAGATCATAAATTCACTAGAGTAGGTAATTTGAATTTTGCACTAAGATATCACTGAAGTTTACAAAATTTATTTGCTGTCTTTTTCAGGGCTAATTTCATTACCAACCATGAAGAAACAAGCTGATGAATGTTACTTTAAATCAAGATGCTAAGGTTTTATAACTAAATTAAATTAGTCCTTCAGCACTGTACATCATTTTGGGGTGGGGGAACAAACCACCACTACCAAAAAACCCCCACAAAACCAACAAAACAAAAAACCCCAAACCACCCTCCCCCCCACCCCTCCAAAAAAAAGAAATGAGCTTTCAGGTATATTCCCCTTCTCTTTCCAGGTGAGAATTGGGAACACACTGCCCTACGTTTGAATTTATTTACAATGCATCTTATATTATTCTATAACCTCCTGTACTACAGAAAGCAGGAGACTAACAACAGCAGTATTGTGCCCTTATATTTAACACCCTAGCTAAAGCAGAGGCCCACTGCATCTATAAACATAGAAGCACACTAAACAGACTTTATCATTAGCATGTTTTGAACCCATATACAAGCACACTAATATAGTATAACTGTATAAACATTCTTGTACTCAACTGCCCAGTAAAAATAGCATTACCATTGCTATAACAGGCCACAGACCTTTCACTACCTATGCCTTATACTAGCCATGCAAGACCCTCATTCCAGCCCATCAGCCTTCTTATTAACGTATGAGAATTTGCTATGTGAACTGGAGATTGATATCAGACATCTTTTGTTAGGAGATAAAATTTACACATGGGATAACAGCAAAGGCCTTGAAAACATTGGCGTAGGTTGAAAGCTGAGGCCTCAGAACTATAAACAGCTCACTGATTGCTAGTCATTGGAAAAGCACAACCTCAAGAGCTGGGAAAAGACTGCTTTAGCTTTAAGAAAAGAAGCAGCAGCAAAGCAAGAAGTAAAACAAGTAACATGAAAATCTCAGCCATACAACATAAAGCACCTGCCATGGCTTGGCAAAGTAACCCCACATTCCCAAACGTTATGCAGCACACAGTCCAGGGCAGAGACCGAGGGCTGGAAACCATCTAGAACCTCAAATATCTTGTTTAAGGACAAGATCCCAAATTAGGGAGGGCAGGGGAGAGAAAAAAAGATGCCCACCGCAGTTCCAGCTTTCCCTGTCAAAGAGCTCTTCAGCCTGGCAACTTTGATGACTACGAGTATAAAGGACCATAGCCATTGGAGCAGTGCAGTTTTGTATACACACAGCTAATCTAGGGTAAGGTCAAGGACTGACTGCTTTGAATACATAGTGACAATGATTAATAATGTGTAAGAATTATTAGCAGGAAGTGTGCTGTTTCTGAACATTAGTCTAAAAGTTTTGTTTAAAGGATTAAAACTGGCCTGATTTATCAGTCTTCTGAATGCCCCCATCACTGTAAGCTCTAACTGGCATGTATATACACATACTCAGTTGCAACAGCCCTTACAGCTATTGTTCAAATAAAGATATGAGATTTATGAACAGCTGGATCTGATCTCAAGAAGACATCAATATATGAAAAGATAAACTCCCAGGTAATATGGCAATACCCCAACAGCAAACAAGAAAGGTGGAAGAAAAGTAAGTGGCACCGTATTTATGAACTGTCACCATATTAAAACAGGAGGCACCCCCTTCTCCACCTTGACTGCAGGGCTGAGTAGGATATTCAGCAAAGCCAATCAAGGGAAAAGAACTTAAAATCATAATTTAGAAGCAGGACAGGGAAGAGTTAAAAAAATGTACATCCACATTTCATTTACATTTTTGAAAGTTAAATAAAATACACCTTTGAATAGCGTATCAAAGGATAAGAGTCATTCTATTTGACAAGCTGCTTCTTTAACATTGGACAGCAAAACCCTGAAGTACACCTTTTATAAGGGAGACAACTAAGCAAGACCTTCCTTAGCTGAAGAAAATAATAGAAAAATATTTGAAAAGCTACTATAAACATTCGACTGCAGGCCACTGTAAGAAGTTACTGGCCTTGTTGAGCTCTCTTCTAATTTTCTCTGGACCAAACTGATCAAGGAAACGTCTGAAGTGAAATGCATCTATAGCAACAATTTCAGTGTAGCGTCGCTGCCATTCGTCCCTAAAATTGGAGGGAGAAGAAAAGTAGATGACATTAGTTATTTAGTATTGGTGATATAATAATGATCCGAAATAAGCAATTCCCTGCAGAGCTTCTCCGTTAGAAGCAGCTAGAAAGGTGAGCTCATAACAAACAATGGAGCACCTTTTTTTTTTTTTCTTCTTTGTGGGTTGGGAACGAAAGCAGCATCAGAAGTGAGACAGGTCTCCCTATAAATTTAGAAATACTCTGACTAACTTTGGGCATAAACGTGAAACAAATCTAATTACAGACGTAAGAACACCGCAAGGTCAAAGAAAAGCACTTTGGCTCTCTATCTTCCTCCAACATTTAAATGAGAGTACACTGTGTATGTTTCTATACTAAATGAATAATTTTGTGTATACACTACGATAACCTTGTTGGAGAAATAAATTCAAGAGCTCAGAGCTTTCTACTCAGATTCACGATATTAAATCTTATTTTGCCACACATCAGCTGCACTGTGGCACCTGAGGTATCATTGTCAAACTTCTTATGGCATTATAATCCACAGTTCAGTCAGTATCTTAACAAAAATTTGGAATAAATACATATAACTGTAAAAGATGTTGGTTTAAGAACTGACATATTGGCAGGTACCATTTATTAAAATTAATATCTCATTATTAATATGAGATAATTTTCTTAGCTTGTTGGCTCTACTGAAGAGAGCAGGATCAAACAGGCAAATTCTCTACTAAGGCAAATGCTAGGAAATACTTAAAGCACCAATTTTCAAATTTATAACATTTATTTACTCCTTCACTTGAAATATTTATGTGGAACTTTACCTTGGGGTCTTATCTTCGTGGCTTCTTGCCCACCGGTAAGTTTCTGCATAGCCTGTATACTCACTGTACTGCTCAGTACCTGAAACAAAATTATTTTCCATATTACTTACAAAATAGGTACATATTTTTTCACTTGGCAAATCCTTCATAGGAATCACTGCTTCTCCAAATGAACATGCAGCTCTCAGAAGCAATGGAAAATAAAGACTCATATCTGCACCAAGAATACAAGATCTTCCTGTAACCAGTAGAAGCTTCTTTTCCACAGATAATGCACAGCATCCAGCATAGAACATTACAAGTGCAGATCTATGTATGTTGTCCAGTATAAAACAAGAAGATAGTTTTCAACTTGGCCACTCTCAAGTTCAATAGCTTCTCCAAAAACTGCCCATCATCTTTAAGGTTTTACTGGCTAATACCTGGTTAAGAAAGACTGTGAGCCTTCGCGCCACCAGTATTTTGCTTTTCTTTTCTCTTTTTTGAGGCTACTACCTCTAAACACGATGATAAAATAGTCATTCCACTATTGAAAATGTGGAAACCCTACTTCATCACAATTTAGCAAACATCTGGGCTGACATTTTAGGAAACATAAGAAGAAAAATATAAAGAGATTCAAAAGTGTATGTGGCAAGCTATATGTTTATATATTTTATTTCTCTAACAAGTTTTATTTCTCTAACAAAATTAAAATCCATAAAGCCAAAGAGAACCCTGATGGTCAGAAACCAAGCAGATTTCCCACATACCAGTGTTACCCAGTTTGTAGCCCTACAGTCTCTTGAGGGCAACCTTACATAAGGATAGGTAGGACTGTTAAGCTTCCTAGTCTCATTGCCCAATACACCTCTTTCCCTTCTTACTGTTTTGTTTTACATTAGTTCAGCATGATTTCTGCACTATGGTTCCTGACACGAATTCTCAGATATCACAGCAATGTATGGCACTGAATGGACTGAAAGGCCACTGCTCTCAGCTGCAGTGGTCAGTACCAAGAAGCTACTTCTGTAAAAGCTTGAGGACCCACAAAAACCATGGTCTGGAACATACTTGGCTGCTCTGTGAAGAAGCCCAGCAGGGTATCTTGGCAAGCATTAAGGGCTGTAAGAAAGTAGCTCATTAAGACCTCCAGTAATTTTAGCTATTATGCGCTGCTATGCCAATTCCTTTTTCAAAGGTTTATCCCAAGACCAAGGAGAGCACTTTAACTGAGAGTAAGGATCATAACCTTTCTAAAAGGCTGCCTTTCACCTCATTTTACTGAATTTCAGGACCTTGCTTCAAAACCTGGGGTTGCACAAATGCTTCAAAGAAATACTCCTAAAGTAATGCCACAGCAAAATCACAACTTTCCCCCCTGTTCTGAGCTTGCAACAGCTGAATTTCAAAAGTAGGGGACTGAAAAGAATACCTTGTTTAGAAAATTTCAGCTCATACAGGTACAGTTTGGCACAAGTGATAAACGATACGAGTAAGAAGAGAACTGTTAAGCAACCCCTTAACTACAGTGACACCAGCTATGCCTATAAATATAACAGAAAAATAGGTTTTAGAAAGACGTGCAAGCTGACAGCACAAAACATCTGATTACTAAGACAGCAGTAATGCTTAACTATTGCGCAGATTGGTGATACTCTGAGAACACAAATGTTTATATTTAATATCAAAGTTTTTCAATCTCTAAATAAAAATAAAAAGTTGAAGAATCAGAAACATAAAAACTATTCACTTTTAACAAGGGAATTTAAATGCTTGCTTTCAGTAGTCTCAAGCACAGGAAACACAAGCTGTTAAAAACTGTTTAAAATGATGCATATACTCCAAGTCATTTTCTCCATCTACCCAAATTCATTTTAACGGAAAAGACTTTTCAGCACTTCTTTAACTCATCTGCCCTATTATCCACCCGTTATGTATTTAGATTTGTCTAGATGAATAACCATACTGAGGGCACACAAATACCACTCAAGGCTATTTTGGAAAGCTGCTATGCAAAATGAGTGGGATGGTAAAAGATTCCTCACCCAGAATTCACTTCCTGTTACAAAATCGAAGTCCCCAAAATTGGGTGGCAGAATATGCCTATATATTCACACACATCCATGCTCCTGTACAAAGGACAACTGTGAGCAGCTTAAATATTCAGAAGTCAGCCTTCTAATCGAATTGTAGGCTATCAACCTTCAGTAAGACTTGTCCTGACATCGGTAAAATTCAGTTTTACTGATATGCTTGGAAAAAGTGTCTGAGCAAATAGTAAGAAAAGACAGACAAGAAAGTTATGTGACTCTTCTGAGAGCTCTCTTTAGGGGACAACTTAGCAAAACTTCCAACTTTGAAAAGGAAGCATTTTGTTTGGTGTCTAGCATGTGGAAAGAAAAGACTAGGTTATCAAGATATTGCAACAGTATAGATTAAATGACAGTCAAAGTATTAAGCTGACTTTTTCAAAAGGGTCATTGTTTTCATTTATTTTTAGGGAAGTGCAGTGTCTGATGATGAAAACACCAGGAAACAAACAAGCAAGCAAATACACATATATTAAAAAAAATAATAAAAAAAAATCAATAACAGAGAAACTCAAAGAAATCACACGAACTCTAAACTCACATCCCAGAAACACAAAGTTAATGAAAATCAATGGGTTTTCATAAGTGAAGCTCTGGAAATTTGTCAGACAAAATTTGTTATTCAACTGGAAGCACTTTTTGCCTGTGAACTACTGGGACACAAACTGCTGTTGCTGGAAGAACAGAAGCAGTATGGGAAAATTGGATATGCTAATGTTTCTGGCGAATCTTTTTGTGGCCAAGTCACAAATACAGCATAATAGCACAGTTCCATCAGAACTTTAAAAACAAGTTACAAAAACTAAAAAAGCCTAGAGTCAAAAGAAAGTATATACAAGTACCATTCAAAAATACATTCTTTGTGAAACTTGTAATAGTTACAGCATCAAACAAATGGCGAAATTGCCAAGTGTTAGTGCTTATGGGACCTCCTCCATCTAGAGAGAGTTGCAATTGTTACTGAATAAAAGGAGTACATGTGAAAAGCACAAGAGTATAGTTTTGTAGTCACCAACATAAATGCACATTTACTGCCAAAAGTGAGGGGAAGGTCTTTCTCTCCTTTTCAATCAGTTCTTCTGACCCTTATCTTGCACCACCATTAGTCTTCTGGCTCTCCAGACAGTGGCATGATCAGTTTGCTAAATCCAGCTGAAAAACAATTTTTCCCCTCTAAGTAAAATTTTCAGCTGAACCAATCATCTGATCTCATTTACTGCATGGGTAATGTGCTTACAAGTCTCTGAAAATGCATCGCTAAGATGTGGTCAGGACTGGCCGTTGTTCAGTCAGTAGATTTAAAGCAAACATGGAATATAGCTTCATTTGCTCTTAACGCTGCCTGAGTATACGTGAACTCAAAGAGGAAAAAAAAGAAGGGAAAAAAAGAAAAGAAAAAAAACCTGAATGAAAACCACTGATACTTATTCACAGCTCTACCAGAAATGCAGCTGTGGAAATCTTTGGCATTGCTGCTGACATTTCTGTAGGTAGATGTCTGTGTGGAATAACTTGACTGTTTGCATGACCAGTTCCATATTCATTACAGCAGTGATCTTAACCAGATACTGGGCAATCACAACAAATTTAATTTCTCTCCAATTTCTCAGACTCTTCTGCAAATTTAAGCTGCACAGTTATACCCATTAGGCCGCTGAGTCAAGTTGCATCACAAAGAATGTAATTTATCAAGAGGATTGTGACACGCAGTGGAGACTTGGCTAAGAACTGAGGTGGAAAAGCTCCAGTGATGAAATTAAAATGATGGAATGGCCATTTCCATTAGAGAAGAACACCATATCACAAATACTAATTGCAAAACACTATAAAGTACTCAAGAAAACTAAAAGAATAATGCCGAAGTGAAAAAATATCCTCACCTTTATTTGTTCATGCCAAATCACTGGTTTTTTTTGCAGGGGAATGGAAGAAGGTCTTTCAAAACATCCATTTAGTGTTTTCCCCCAAGCAGTTATTACAGACTGATAGCTGTGCTCTGTTTTTACCCTCCCCAGAGGAGCCTTACCCAGAGGACAGTATTTCAACATGTTAATCTTGTTATAGTATCATATCCAAAATACACAACAGAAATCAGCGATGGCCAAGAATTCTCTGACTCGTTTTTTTAAAAGATAATCACAAAAGCCAATTTATCAAGAAGTTTTCATAGAAAAGGCATTGATTTTGGCAGGGTGGAAAAACAAAATAAAACACTCTCTTAAAAAGATTACCAAGTATAAAACGAAAACTAAAAGATGCTCTGCACAGTACAATCAATAGCTCAGGACAGAGTAAGATTTGCAAGATCTAAGCTCAAATTTTTACTGTGCATGCATGCAAGAGAAAGAAGTGCTTTGGAAGGACTTTTCCAAGAAATGTGTTCTAGTAACTGTACAAATTCCTGACTGTTGAGGTAGCTCAGGTAACTACACCCAATGTTTTTAACTATAGCAGACTGAAAAATATAAAATATACATAGTGTATTACAGTATTTACCCAGAGGATCTCTTTGATCAAATATTTTTTCTTTATAGCTGTTCTTTAGAGTAAATTAAAAAATATTATAGCATCATTTTATTTTTCAGTCATGAAAAATGCCCACTGTGTTCCTGTGTATAGAACCGAGCCACACACAGCATGACCTGGGCCTCTCCAGTTCTTAATGGCGACATTTGGTGTTTTGATGCTAACTTTTTTGATCCAATGGATAATAAAACATTCCAAGTTCTATGACAGAGGTGGAAACAAAAGGAAAAAGGCTTTCAGCAAAGCACTGGACAGACAGCTCATCTCCATACACAGCCCCTCAACAACATACTGGAGAAGTGTTTAGTTTTTGATAATGTAATTAGGGACCCATAACTACCCTACAAGTAACACAAACACATGCTTGTAACTTAACAAGATCAAATTCCTTAAGAGACATTTCCTGACTTTTTACTGTTTTTAATAGATGCTGATTTTCTCCTCTTCCAGTTCCTCCCCTTTTTGTAAGCAGAAGGCAGTTCCTCTTCTCAGAGTTTTCAATCCCACTGATCACATCAAATTTTACAAATTCCAGACAGGAACAAAAAAAAAATCCCCGCTTTAACATAACAGAAACATTACCTCCTAATAGCTGCGACCAACTGATAGCTGGTAATTGTGGCTTTTACCTATATTGCCCAACAGTATTCTTTAGCTAGGCCTAAAGACACTGAGTCCTCAAACACATTTATATAGGATAAAAAAAAGTTCTGTCTGCTTGCTGTCACTTTTTTTTTTAAATTGTTTGTTTCCTTCACAAAACATCTATTGAAACAGCAGCCCTATGGTCTTAAGAGGTGGGGTGGAGAAGGAAGTTCTTTGTCAAATGAGTATTATTTTTTTTCTTCTTTTTTTTTTATCCCTACAGCATTTAAAAATACTAAACTTCAACTTGGAATATATTTTCTATATATAAAACCAGATTAAGATGTGAAACATCTTCTGCGGAGACTAACCTGTGATGATAAGACATTCATTGTGATCCAAGACTTCAGTGATGAGCCTCGATACAATCAGTTCTGGGTTGATTAAAAAACGAATTTCTTCTTGAACTAGTCCTGCCCCAGTCACACCACCTCCAACAAAACGGTTTGCAAAGTCAACCTAACAAAAATATATTCAGGAGGATTATTAGATAAGCAAACAGCATAAAATCCTTTCCTTTACCGATGCAAAGTCCCGTACAAATTTCAATAATTCTGTTGAAATCTGCTGGTATCACTTGAAATACAAGCAGCATCACAGAGCCTGTTCAACAGCATGTCTTTGTATTTTTTTCCCTTCTGCTTCTCAGAAAACTTAAAAGACAAGCGAGATATTACACAGCAAAATAAAGTTTTGCATCTCAAATGCTCTGAATCCAAGTTTTGTGGCTTTTCTTTGAAGAGCACATATTTAAGAGTAAAATGCATTTCAGTAAATGTGAAAGATGAAACCAGCAAATTACAGTATTCTTTTTGCATTTTATGAACATTGAAGAATTACTAAGTTGTCCTTTAATAAGCATTCTGCCCCAGCTGTCCACACTGAAGCATTTTTAGATTAGCATTGCCCCGGTACCAGTTGTTCTGTACCTAAAATTTTCTTACAAATTCTTACGAATTCTCCTTGAAATACACTTGAACAAGGCAAGTCATTTGAATCATTAAGGTTTCTGCATGAAACAGAGAAGCTCTGGACTCTCTTTTTTTCTACAATAATACATACTTTGCAAATTATATTTTTATATAGACAACAGTTTTTAAAGGATTTGGTTTATTCAATAAAGTGATTACTATTTATGCAAATTAGCTGCCCATATAAATTTATAATTTTAAAAAGTCACTTCATCTTTCAAATGCTATTAGCTTCTTACCGATTTTTATTTAGATAGCTCATGAGAGCACATTTACAGGAAGGGAACAAAAGTTGCTGGAGTGATACGATCATCTGTTGAAATTACAAACTGATTCAGGAGTCAGAGTCAAGTCTAAAGCACACTGAGAGCCGGCCACTACAAGAGCAAGCGTTCCTGAAGTCTATCCTGGAAATACCAAAGGACTTCAGCGGTTTAAGATTTGCTGAACTCAATTATGATACAAAAAAAGTAACGTGAAAACTACCCAAACGTTCAGTGCGTCTGGGCTCCAAATGCACTTTTAACTGTGCTGAGTAGCTTCACCTTGGGCCCCCATCCTTGGCCCCAGCACATGGTCCCCTTGTCCTGGACCTCGCCTGAGACACATCAAGTATAGGCCCGTGCCCAGCCCTGTGCTCTGCTGATGCCCATTTGCTGACCTTTGTGACCTGACTCATCACCTTGCCTTTGTCTGATGTCCACCAGCCTGTCAGCAGAAACTGTTATTGTCACCATCCCTGGTCTGCCTGCCCCAGCCAGCAACCCTGCCCGCTGAGGCTGGGGTCACTGTGGACTCCTGCATTGTCTTGCCTTGGTCATCCCACTCCCTCTTGGAGTAAGCGCTCTTCATCTGAGTGGAGATATTGTGTTTGATAAGAATTGAAACAGCCAGAAGGAAAAATCCTAGGCAATACTCACTTTTACAGAGTGCAACAGAAACAGCACATGAAAAGGCATAATTCAACCTTCTCTCACCTCTGAGGTTATAGTGTATTTGAATAGAGAGACAACAGAAAAATGATTATTGAGCAGTTGCTGAGTTCTTAATAATTTCAATACACATTTGAGTGCTCAAGTTTCATAAAGTCATAAGACATTTTAAAGTTTGAGCAAAAAGCATTGCAGAAAAAAGTCTTCCTATTCTCCCTCCTCCTTTGCAGCACTTGTTCCCAGCTAAAGAAGTTGTAATGAACTCTAGAAGGCAGGCTTTTTTTTTTTTTTTTTTTTTTTTGTTAAAGAAAAGCAAAAACCAAACAACTAATTTGAAAACTCAAGTGTGTTCCTTGCTATAGACACGGACAGGACATCCTCCTTATGAATTTTTTGCTGACTGTCTCCAAGACCAAAACAGTGGTGCTGGCAGCAGCAAGAAAGTCTGCTGAACCACTGACCTGGTCACTGTCTGGGGCACAAGAATAATTTTTTTAAAATAAACTGAAACCCTTGACAACTCATCAAGATCACAGCCTGAAAGTTTTATCTTGTCAATCTTTGATCCTGGTTTGAACCAGAAGACCTGAAGCTGTCCAGACCTTGTGATTTCCTGTCAGTTCTTTCTGTACCAGGTACATGTGCAAAACTAGATGAGCTGAGGAATATTGGCAGTACTAAGACTGCCCATGGAATTAATTTTGATATTTCTTTTACACCACATAACATCTTGTCATTTAAGTGAATTGAGGATAAACAAATAACTTTGTTAAGCTGGCAGACCGTGAAAGTATGACAAAGCCACATTTACTGTTAGATGCGCTTACCTGTAGCATACCTTGCCCATTGCTTTCAATGGTGCCTTCATAGGTGACGTGCAATCTAGACAGTTTTTTCTGAGATCTATCATTAAGGAAAAATATTGTACAGAAAGTATGATTACAGAATCTCCACACAGAGATCCATTTTAAAAGAAAACACATCCAAACCCAAACTCCTTGCACACCTTAAACATAAGGTGGTTTAAAAAAATACCCTGGTGGATTAACGAAAATGCATTTTCCTTTCAGAAACAATTTGTAAAGGTTTAACATAGTCAATTGTTCAGTTTCTCCACCTCTTCCACCATAAAACCCCAAATGTGAAATTGAAGTTCTATGTTTTTCACACAAGTTTGTCCCACATTAACTTGCTAACCAACAACACTTCTGTTTTCATGTTGGTTATCACCATAGCACTTCACTTGACTTGATTTCCGAAACGACAGGAAATATAATGAAGCAAGTGATCTCTCTCTTTTTTTCCCCACTCAAGCAACAGCACCAAAGATATACTACTGTTTTAAAAATTCACTTAAGACTTGGTGGCTTCACAAGCAAACAAACATTCTTGGGGCACTCAAACTACCTGTGACAGTTCACCCACTTACCTCTGTACTTTTCTCCATAACAATTCATACCAAACATTGTCTTCCAGGCCTGAATCAATTCCACTTGAATGGGATTCAGTTATTGATTTAAGAAATTTCTTACATTAACACGCTTGGCTTACCTTTCCCAGTCTGGAAACTCCTGGAGACACTGCCTTGTAAACGTCACCAATCCCGTAGGTTCTACAGGCAAATCAACCCCAGAGGAAAATGTATTAACTGCTGGAGCTTTAGTCCTTAGATTCTTTGAAGTGGTAAACTTTTAAAATTACAACAAACATCGTTCTTGGCAGAAACACGAAAGCTTAACTTTCCTCGAGAGCAGCTTTGAATTTTCTCCTGATGGCCCATGCTCAAATTGAAAACAAGTAACATGAAGACCAAAATACACACTTCTCTTCTGCCTTTGGAGTTTGAGTATTTTATTTTTCCAGATCAAGGAAAAACTGTTTCTTAAGTGATTTTCACTTACACTGTAAACACTACTAGAAAGACTCAATAGCTGAAGTAAAATGTGCTGCCACTTAAAAAAAAGAAATTGTGAACCTTTAGGGGTGACTACTGTTCAGTGTCAACAGGCAATGCACAGAGTACTCAACCCATAGATGGATGAAGCAGCAGCTCTTATTTCCAAGAAAGTACTACTATGTCAATAAAGATGCAGTGTTAGTGAATTCCGTATCAAGCCGTTTTCAGCCCTGCCAGAATGCTAGTGAAATTCACTGTATTTCAACTGAGAAAAGACTCCTGCCCACAAGAGAAAAAGAGGAGCCATTGCTCATTGCAGGAAGGATGCATTACCACCTTCTCTCCTTATTTTACTCAAAAAGTTCAGTTTTGCAACAGAAAGAAAATATCAACCTTTTATTAAGCGATGTCATCCTAATAAAAACTTAATTTGAGACTCATTTCTTTGCTCCAGTAAGTCTACTGTGCTGGCTTGTGAAAAACATTCAAAACAGTATGTAAAGCACACATATCCTTCCGAAAGCCTTAAATAATCCTATGCTTTTCTTCAAAATTACAGGGGTGCAGGGGGAAAAAAGGGTTGCTTGCTCTTAAAAAAAGTGCAGAGCTTTCAATAATCAAGTGCTTTTCCACAAGGGAACTCTGCTATCAGTGGTGATATTTTACAGATTAAGCATTCACCTTTTGAGCAGAAAGTCTTCAGCTGATATAGTCTCCACTGTGTTCTTTTACAAGGAATTCAATTACCATTTACAATAAAGAGAGTTGCAAAATTATTACAGTAATTTATAGAGCTAAGTTACTTCAGTCTTACTAATTCCTTGGACAAAAAAGAACAAGAAATGGAGTCTTTTAAAGGTATGATAGGAATTTTTAATTCAAGAAAAGAGCACTCAAGAATCTCATTAAATATTATTTAAAGTTATAATGTTAAGAAATCTAATACAGTAGTTTCATAAAGCATGTTCCCAACAGATTTCATATGCACAGGGGGTCAGGCACAGCTGCCTAAATTTAGGATTTGGTGTGCATGAAAACATTATTACTCAAATATAAAAAATAGCTAGTACACTCTATCTCTTCTCAGTCCCACACATAGATCATAATTTACTTTTTACCTCAGAGATTTAGTTCTATTGACATTGCTGAAAGTTTGATAGCTGAAACAGGATGTAGCTGCATTTAATTTGTGGTGAACTAGAATGATGAATTGAATCAAGGGATTTTTATATTTAATAGTTTAAAGCTGTCCTCCTTTTAAAGCAAACCCTTCTGAGAGAATATGAAGCTAATAGTGAACTATGGACATGTAAAAAAAAGTTTTTTAAAAAAGTACTATAATAAGGATATTGCTGCAGATGTGATATATGCTACTGCAGTAAAATCTCTTTCTCCCCCAAAATACAATATATAAGCTCTGATACAGTTCTCACAAAAATAAATCTATTTTTGACAGCTTATGCAGAAGTTCAAATTCATGGTAACAACAGATCTGACTACGCACACTAAGGAAAATATGGCAATAATGTCTAAAAGAGTTGCGGATATCTCATGTCTTGCTATCGCTTGTTTTATTTGAACTGGGAAAACTTCACAACAGCTTTGCTTTGTGTAAATAGAAGGTAAAAACCTGAAATATCAACACAAGTAGTGGAAAATCCCTCAGAACTACAAACATTATAGGCAAAGGACTAAGTGTGCACGCTGCAAGAAATCTGAAGCTTGATTCAGAATCTTTTAAGCCTGTGATTTTAATGATTACATATGGTGCTAAGCTCCCTCTACATTCTCACTCTGATGTGGTACAGCAAGTAGTTGCATATATTACAAACATTATACATATATATATTTATATATACACATACACTTTATATATATATTTAAAGGAGGGTGAAAATATTTCTCTGTTTTACACATCCCTCCACATATATATCTTGGAAAAAAGAAAACTGAGTAAGCTCCGTACAAAAAATTTAATTGCATGCATCATCTATATGAGAAGTGACATTAATATGAATATCAGTGTACTTAGCAAGCTGGCTTTTGTTACACACTTCCATCATAATGCTGCATAGCCATTTCTAAATTTAATGGGATTAAATTTTTCATGTATCTGCTTTGTAGCTCAAAAGAAGAATAAAGGATTACTTTTTTCTGTGACTCTCCTAAAATAGCAGAAAAGGGTCTTAAGTTTCTCAGGCTTCCTTGGTGACCGTCCTTCAAACAATCTGAAAAACAAGAAATAAAAGCAATTAAATAGATATCAGGGATATAGTCTATAGTAATTAGGCTACTTACTAATTGTGATTTGATTTTTTAACTATTATGTACATATTTTGATAAGCCTTGCATTTAAATACTCTACTGTAGAAAGAACTCTCTAGACAGCCCCTCTGTAACAGGGGTTTTTAGGAGTAACACGTTTGTTCACTTGCTAAATTTCTCATGAAGATGCTAAGAGAATGCCTATCGCACTCATACTGATTTTGTAATATCAGAAAATATAATTTCAATGCAAACATCCAGGAAAGCTACTAGGTTTTTTTGCAACAGACTGGCTCAGATTAAAATAAGTGACTGAGGGGTGAAAATATGTATGTTGAGTACTGCAAGATCCAAATGTCTTACCCTACTTTCAGCTCAGTGAGTTACAGAGAAGAATTAATGCAACCATATTGCTTTCAAGAGTGGCATGGCACCAGCAGCATTTCTAAAGAAAAGAACCTACCCCCAACAGAAACGGCTTCACCCACTGGGCTACTACTGGCATTCTAACATTCATTTGTAAAAAACCTAAGCATTAAAAAAGAAGCATCCTATTTTTAGCCATTAAGTGAATGTATTCTTTTAGGGTTAGCTGAAATACTTTTACTGCATCATCTATCTTCCAGCAACTTGAACATGCATTACTTAATTTCACTTCCAACAAAGTGACAAGGCATTGTTACTGGCAACACATAATGGAATTTATCTGCGAGGAAGAATAGCGGCGACTTCAGAAATAATATCCTTTGAGTAGGAAGTTCACTAAAAGATGTCTGATACGTGAAAGCCCTGAGGATGTAAGATTCCCCCCCAATAAACAGTCTAAGTAAAGGAATGACACAACATTATTCATTTGTTTCCATGTACCGGAATGACAACCTGCCTTTAAAAACCAGAATGCTGTCAGGTGAATTAAGCTTTTAGTAGTGAAGTGAACTAGATTTTTTCAGTATTTAAAAATTCTTATGAATTCTTATACATGCTGAAGAGATCAATTTCATCCAAAATCTATATTAAGTCACAGAAACTGATTTTAAAAATGTTAAAAAGGTTTTATGAAAACTTTTTTATTCATTGAATGATCAATCAGGACTTTAAGAAGGCAAACTCCAGACTTACAGAGTCTATTTTAAAATGGGCCAATATGCAAGTTCTATCAAGGGGTTGTGCTTGCACAACTAAGAAGGGGTTCCTAAAAGAAAGAGTTGATGTGTGCGCATGTGCGCGCATGCATCTTGCCTAAATGTATAAATTATCTCTGACCTTTTATCTGGAAGTCTCATTTGGCATGACTCCTTTAAACCGGTTAATTTATCTATTAGCCCGATCATGCCTTTACTAGTTTTTTGCCTCTTTACATCAAATTGAAATCTTATTTATATTACAAACTCTCAGGAGAGAGTTCTTCATGTCACAAAGGCGATACATGATTCGGCATAACTAGCAGAGTGGGCAGAAGAAGTCCAGAACTAGAAAAACTATGCCTGAAATAAGTCAAATCAAGCTAAAAGGCAATGGCAAGGCAGATGAACTTGGTTTCATCCGTTACGATTACACACCAAAATGCAGTCACTGTCAAGTAGGGAATTTCAACCAAATATTTTTTAAAATCTGAAGTGTTCAGCATTGGCCTGTCTTTTCTCGTTAAAAGCTGTGATAACTACCTCTCTTCTTTCTCCTCTGGGATCAAAGCTAGAGTAATGCTGATTTGCTTCTGAAAAATCTCATTTACAGCAGATAAATATTCCCAAAACACCATCTATAATTACAATAATAAGAGATATCTGTATTTCTGTTCTAGCCCTATATGGCTGGGTAAAAACCACAGGGCAGCACAAATGAATCTGAAAAGCTCTGGGTTCTGGCACAGGCACTTGCTGTAGAGGGATACTCCATACAGCAGGAAGAGAAGAATACTGTGGCATTCAAAATTATCTGTATTTTGACCTAGTAGCTATATGCATCCAGTAACTACATGCATCAGATCTTTTATAGCAGCTAGCTCAAGAGCTCTCATAACCTTTCTCCTCCTCACAGTATTTGCTTTTCTTCGCTATGACATAACATAAACTGTACTTTCTCTTTGAAAATCCATGGTTAAATAGAGAAAAATAATTTTTAAAAACTTATTTATTTAAAACAAAAGCAGGCAACACCAGTCCTGCACACACGTTTTAGGACTGAATCCACTATAAATTATGTTTGTCCAAAACAGAATGCATTTATAAAGGAATAGCTATTTATGGCAGCTTGAAGACACCATGTCTTAGATTATTATGCTTGAATTTACTTAATATTTTCTGTGTCTAAAATTTACCTTTATTAGTGAGCCAGTGGCAAACTGAAGATGGCTATCTACAAACATGCTTTTTATTATATATATATTTGCAAAACACTAGTATAGTACTTGCGCATTTTCATATAACCAGACCAAGGAACTCTTGTCTTCAGCTATTTCAAGTAAGAGTGCTTTACATTAGGAATATGTTTTAAAGGCCAATCAGACCAGTGGAAAAATCCCCACAGATTTTAATGGGCTACAAATTGGCCTTAAACCCTTATAGTATCTAATTATTTGAAGTTATTGATATTCACTCAATTGAATTTGATTGCTTCATATGTTCTTTTAGATTTCCACAGAAATCATATCACGATTACATTAACGATTCAGAAGACTTCCCCCAAGCTATACTAAAGTCAGAAGAAAAGCACAAGAGAAAAACCAACACACAGCCCCCCATACACACAGGCAGCCAAGCTTTCCTAAGCACAGCATAAAGCAACCAGTCATCTTTGTGAATGCAACAGTAAAAGGAAGTGATATTTACAGCAATCAAAAATGGCCCAGTCCTGCCCCATTAATTTAAGTGACGATATAACATGGCAAAGTTATGAACATTTTAACCTTGAACCTTACTTCTGAAATGATCCATTAGGCAACGTTATGAGAAGTTTTATTTCTGAAACAAGTATCTCTATTTTGAAGAACAAAGCTGGATAACGGCATCAATAAGATATTAAATAAAATTCTTCTTCAAGCTCTGAGACACAGATCCTACTAAAAAACCAACCCAAAAATATAAGTGGAAACCACATAATCAATTTTCTGACAAAAGAACCCAAGGCCAAAACCCATTAATTCCAATTAAAGAACTCATCCAATGAAGTGCACTGTAAATCAAATGCAAAGCACTGCAAGCCCACCTTCAATCAAAGTAATTGAAATATTACCGGCAACTGCATACGTAAGCTGTTTTGCTTTGTACAAGATGTTACCACTGCCATGCAGCTAACTTCAATTTAGCAGACACAGGAGCTAAGAAACCTTGCAGGGCTGATCACCAAACACAGCTGCAAATTTATTTCTGGTTCTCCAGCTTCCAAGCCAGGGTAGTGGCAATGTTAATCAAATAAAAGACCTCTACAGAGATACACTTAAGTACTCAAGAAATCAAGGTCAGAGATTTAAAAACCTAAGAAAGTAGATGTGTGAACAATGTCATAAACACCGAGTAGTCATTGTGGCTAAATTAAAACTCTTTCCTACCAAATATTTGGACATTAATTCAATTGCTCTGAAGAGAAATCCTATATATGAGAAATAAAATATTAAAAATAATAAAAACAAATACTGGGAAAACATTAAAAATTTTTTTTTTAAATTACTCAACAATTGTCAGTAAACATACTGTAAAGTTACAAGGCAATAGTTTATGCTATTTCAATAATTGTTACAAAAACGTATGCATTTGTTTTGCATTAGTGTTTTCCTAAAATTTTAGGGTGGAAAAAAGCATTTTAGAAGTGTAATCAATATTCTGGTTTTTGCAGTCTCATTGAGTGCAAACTCAAAATTGTCTTATTTTCAACCAACATTTCCACCTTGGAAAGCTGGAGCCAAAAGCTCTAAAGAACCTGCTCTTAAGTCCTTCGAGTGCTGAGGCAAGCGGCAAATCTGCAAGATACTTTAAAGGGTGCATTTCCAATAATGCAACATCAACATGATTTAATAACATTAAGAGCTACACAAAGTGACCTTGGCATGCATATAGTTTACTGGGGGAAAGTTGAACCAGCTTAAGTAAACAATTCCAAAAGACACTGTTTCTGATTACGGTATAATCAAAATACAGTAGTTTACTTGTAAAATTTAATTTCCAAGGAGCTAAATTGATCCCTTGAGATTACTTGAAGAACTGGCTCCAGTAATTTTTACAAGCAGAAGGAACCATTACAATCATGTGGTTTAACCTCCCAGTTAAGTAATTTCATATCAGTATTTCCATCTGCAGCCTGTATCTTCCCATCCCCAGGCTGGGCTTCTTTTAAATGTTTCTTTTCAAAAAGTATAATCGTGTCTTTACACTGAAATCGGAACCTATCATAAGACTCAGAAAGCTGTCCACGCTGTAACAATATGCAAAAATTTACAGTATGGATCATACTTCAAAGAATACTTCCCATTCATAAATCCATGGCATTTCATGTGTGCTGTTTGCAAAAGCATGGGTGCACAATTTTATACTTACGGTCCCCCAAAATAACTATGTGTGCTTCTTCTTAACTACTACAGGCACTAAAAAGTGCCTTTTACTTTACCACTGTAGTTGAAGACACACTTGTATTATTTCTTGTATTTTAGCATGATCTCACTAAAAATAACATCGCATCTAAGCAAGTGCAAGCCATTTTACTAAAACCTAATTTTTCCTCCTACAAATAGAAGTGGAAGAAGGACTTACAAGGAAGTAGTATGGAGAGATGAATTTCACCCAGTGAAGGGACTGAGCAGTGGGAAGGATGGAAAGTTAAGGCAGAAATGAAAATACGGTATCAACATAACCTTCAACCTCAAGAACGCAGCTGATTACTGAACAAAGTTTTGTCTAATGTATAGGATGACAAAACACTTGGAAAAAAGAAAAAACCAAGCACCTTGCTTTTTGTGTCCTGTTGCATTTCA